TTTCAGGGGTGATTTTTCAAAAATTTATTTTAAAAAAAGTACTAACTAGCAAATGTTTTTTATTAGCTCGCAATTTTCTTCAAAACTACTTCAATGAGGAAAAAAGTAAAAATTTGGAATATCTATACATGAGGGGCTAATTGATCGGATCTATGGGGCTTGCCTCTCTTAGAGTTGAGGATATAACCATAACGAATAGAAGAAGAAGAAGAAGAACCTCGAGCCCCACAAGTGGAGAGCTAGGGAGAGTCGACTGAATCGCGTACCGGCAACAACGATAAAATAACAAATATTTCTCTCGTCCCAATTCGAATGACTGACCACTAATTGCATCAGCGCAATTGCCTCAAAAAATCACCATAATTCTCTAAAATCATTTAAATATTTTATTTGGAAAAGGCGCAAGGTGAATAATCAACAAATGGCGTTTCAGTTTTAATTTTAGATCTCACTTGATACTTGAACTTTTTTTTTTATCATCATCAACTCTCAAATACATTCATTTACCATTTCTTCACAATTTCATTAATTACTCTTCAATTGATGTGGAATTTTCTTTAACGCTGAGAAGGACAGGTCAACTATTTACGCAATTGTTTCGTCTTTATCGTTAACAATATCTCACAATTTATACTTGGGATTTCGTAATTACCATAATTATTGTTTAATTATAGATAAATGTTGTTTATTTATCCAGTGTATTATGATTATTTCAAGCCCTCTGAGTGCCGTTTATTGACGCTGGCAGGTGCTGCATATATTATACTCATTATCTCTCTCATTAACGTGGAAAAATTTTACAAATAAATACAAACTTAGTGACTCTTACAATTTACTCATTTTCACTTTATTTATCCCATATTAATGATGAATTTTAATGGTTCAAATCTCTTCATATCTGCATTTAATCATTTATAATATACAATAATGACTAGAGTTTTTTTCTTATCAAATGCATTGCATTCATTTGAAATTTCCATGAAGTGGAGTTATTCCTCAGTTAATCGGTCATCGAGATTAATTAATTAAGTTATGATTTAGGTGTTCCCGTTGCTACTTGATCGATTTTAATATTTCATTTATCATTTAAAAAAATGATTTTTCCACGTACACAAACACCATTCGGTTAATTCAACTCTGATGGACAACAATTTGATGATCCCATGCATAACACTATAAACATTATAAATGGCTTTATACATTACCACTGGTATTTACACATGGGCATCGTACATATTTATGTATATATTTATATATCTTTTGTTGGCCTAAACATCAAATGAGAGATAGAGTTGGTCCGTTTGGGAATTAATGGGAACGTGATAATGAGGTGAGAAATTATAATTAACAATTTGACACTTTTGGGTGGCGACTGATGCAGGGTGCGAATGATCGCGCGTTCTCGGGGGTGTGAGACATGTAGAGACGGTTAAAACTGAGAGGAAACACTTACCTTTGGTGGTAGTGAAGGTGTGGTGGCTTCAATTTTTTTTTTGGTTCTGGAGGGTTGGCAGGGGAAGGCTGAGGACATTTCCTAGGGATTTTTTTGCGAGGAAATTATTGGAGTTGATTGATTGGACTTCGATAGGCTCAAAACGCAGTGAATTCCGGAGTTTCATAATTTTTTTTTTTTTTATGGTTGAGAAATTGTTGATGACTTTTATTAAATAAACGAAATTATGAAATTGTGGAATTTCGAACGAACTGAGGTTTCTGAAATCGAGACGATAAATTCCATAATTGCTTCATAGTAAAAAATTGGAGGAAAATTTCTATTGAAAATTGGGATTTTCCTACAATTTTTGTATGAAGAAATCATTGAAATCAATTTTCCAGAATTTCGAAAGCTCAATATGTGATAGATTTCACAATTCTATGTTAAATTACCTCAAAATTTCGAGTGCAACTTTGCAATTTTTTATGATAAAAAAATAATTGAAAAATGTTCATTTCAAAATGCTCAGATGACCTCGAATGACGCCGCAACTCTGGTGAGTCAGTGCCATCTCCCGTCGAATTAGCGTCCTTGTTGATGAATTTACTAAATAATCGAAATCATAAAATTGTAAAATTTCTCACGAATTGAGTTTCTCGAAGTCTAAACAATTCATGTGACAAAAAATTGCAGGAAATATTCCCATCACATAACTTTCATCGAACCATAATGAATCGCCAAATGCAGGAATATAAGCCTCACACATAAAAAAACAAAACAAAAAAATGTTCCTAGTGCAGTTGTCAAAATCGACAAATCCTCCAAATAAATAAACGTGGGATCGAGAGTTGAGAAAAATTGTGCGTTTATTCAACGAAGACGTAGAGCTAGCATACGTATTTTTCATAAATCCCCATCCTCGAGTGAATGAGCTTGCCAGTCAGTGTCGCCCACCAGAAAACTTGACAATATTCATTGATTACTCATTACCCTTTATTATACCTCATTCTCTCACTCTCCGAATATTCGCACCCTGCACTCGCTGTTCCGCTCTGTGGTGTCCCTTCCACCAGGTTCCACGATAGATCTCTCCCCAAACATGCGCGAGGTAATTTATAATCCCGAGTGAGTCCCCCGAAACCTTCGAAATCAGAGAAAACTCCTTCGCAATTTCGAAGATCGAGAGGCATCTCTTCGCAATTTCACGTTGACCATCGCTCAAGGTCACACGGCACATTTCACCTAGTGAATACGTCACGTGACCTCGATCGTTGCCTCCAGATCGGCCGAAATTAGAAAGCCAAAAAATTTCATTTTCGTCAGCGACAGATTTTTACATGAACTTCATGATCGAGGATATCCAAGCAGATCAGGCTTCTTTTTGTGAGTGAAATCCTCATCGGAGTTTATAGAATAGACGAAGATTATTTTTTAGGCGCAATATTAACCTTTGTTTCCGGACTTTTTTCGAGATAACGATTTCTGAGAACATGAAACTCAAGGTGTTCCGTGCGAAAAAGGTAAAAAGAGATAATGAGATTCGTCTGGAATTCATACAGAATGTTTACAATCGCAATTGAATTGTCTATGAATTTTCATAGGATTTTTTCAGATTTCGTTTTCAAGTTGTTAACGATTAAAGTCGCTGTTTGTACGATTATATGAGATTATTCCATATTTTTTATGTTAAGGAGAGGAGAATCTGAATGTAATATAGTGAAAATTATGATCGATTTTTTCACTTTGAACAAATGATTTTAATATCCAAATACAAAATTTCGGATATGAATAAGAAGAAGCTGTGACTCATTCCAAAACAAGTTTCAATTTTTAATTTGGTGAATTACCGTGTCAATTAATTAAAAATTCACGGAGAGAAATATTCAGTGAAAATTACGGAACAATTCACGTAATCCGCAATGGGGAATCGTTTTCCGGCAATTTTTATAGGAATGGAAGAGACGAAATCTGAAACGTTCAGTGAATTCTCAGGTTCATCACCGAACAAAGTACGAAATTGTCACGTAATTTTTCCCGAAGAAGTTAAATCTTACAGAAACTTGCCGACTTATTGTGCCTCCAAAATCAAAAATTCTTGAACGTTCAACAATTTTTATGAAGCTGGTGAGTTATTTCTACGTTCCGTTCCGTAAAATTTCTCAATCGTTGGGGAAAAATGACGGAACGACTTGTTGTCCCCACAGCGGTGAGTCATCAGACGGGTGATTAATTTTTACGGAACAAATCGTAAAATTTACGTGGCGATTCGTACAATTTCAGTTCCGACTCACACTTTTTACTGAATTTTACTCCGCTCGCGGATTACATTCCGAAACGTAATTAAAAAATTTTTTCTGATAATTTTTATTGAATTTTCCTCTCCATGCAACTAGAGTCAAGTGTGAAATTGAATAAAATATTGTACCCAATATTAATTGCAAAAATTCCTGAAAAAATGTATTCAACATTGAAAAATCCGAAAATGTTTGCGGATGGCAGGATTTTCGGCAGAACTGAAATCTTGCTTGAAAAAAAGTTGCCAACTTGACCGAAATACTTGGATATCCTCAATATCTTCGCAGCTGCTTGCACTCGCCTCACGCACTCCATCGTTTCCCCTACATTAAGTACAATTAAATTGAAATTAAAACTTCATTTGTCCCAATAACGACAGCTTTATACCCTACCTATTATATCTACAAGGGCAGTAGACCAAATGCTGACTGATACTGCAAGTATTACGCATTCTTCCACACTTCACATTTTTATTTATATATATATATATATATATATATATATATATATATATATATATATATATATATATATATAATTTTGTTTCTTGTATTTGTTTAATGCCATATATAATATAGTAATTCGTCAACCGAGCGAGTTTAATCGTAACCGATGCGCAGCGTTTTTTTTTTTCATTTTAATTATCCCCCACTTTTAGGTTTGTCTTCTTTTATTGAAAATGTTTATAGGTTTTTAGTTTATTACTTTAGGGGTAGTTGGTTTCTTGTTTTTCTCATCACTCTTGATTTTAGGGTTTAATCTAATCATTTGTTTATCAGTAGTAGTTTTAACGATAATATTTTATCAATAATCATTAGACTATTTTTATTTGCTTTTTATAATTTTTTTCTCACGGAGAGAAAATTCAACGAAAAATTTGGATGAAAATTGTGGAAAAATTACTTCTTCACTAAAAATTACGTCACGGGGAACAATTTAACCTTTGCCTCAAAGTTTTTTCCTCGATTTCAAATGAAAATTCGTGGAATGTAATTTAATTTGTCATTTTTCGTGTGATTTTCTCTCCGTGTGGGTTTTCGGTGTCTCTCGCTCTTAGACTTCACTCGTGCAATTTTTTTTGTTTTTTTTTTTTGAGTTTGTGGTGGAGGGGTGAAGTGGGATGTCAATTTTTGCTGAATGTTTCCTTTAATTCGAAGATATTCATCGAAAACTAGACTAGATGGAAATCAACTTGCGGAATCGTTGATTATTTTTTTATGAATATCTCCGAATCTATGAGAGATAGCGAAATTTTTGTTAAGAACTTTTATGCAGCTTGTGAAATTCTCCGCAAAAAAGTTTATGACAAAATTGTAGCTATCTCCCTTCCACTTCCAGATATTCAAAAAAAATCAAAGTTAATTGAAATGAACTTCACGAATCTTCAATTAAATTATTCATTCCATGCAATTAAAACCTTGTCAATTAAATAAATACCTGATTCAATTGATTTTCAGCAAAAAACACTTGAATCGAATGATAAAATTGCAATAAAAAGAGAGTTTTATCCGATTCAAACGTCCAATTTTGCTGGATGAACCCCAAATTCCCTTCCACCACTAAATAAATTAAATATATAATTCCATTCACCTCTCACCATCACACTAGAAGAACGACTAGAAAGAAATTCGTGTGTTATCACACCCCTGGAGTATCATTGTACGTGCGCGAGTGTTGCGACGCGGGGGGGCGCGCCCCTCCAGGCGTCATAACCTCCAGTACCAGCCCCCCATCTCCGAGAGAGAGAGAGAATATTAGGCCTTTAGCACGGTGTAGCTCCCCTCTCCCCACCATATATTAATTTACCTGTTTTTTTATTTAATTCTCAGTTCTTTAGGACTTCCATATCTTGCATTATCGTTTAATTAATTAAGTACTAATTCATTTAATAGCTTCTTCTCTCATAAACTTCCACTCTCACTATATCTCTCTTGCCATAAATTCGATAAAAACACAACGATCGCACGGTTGAGCTGAACGTTTACGTAAATGTGATTATTTTGAATATTTTATGAATAGTTGTTGTTCATTCCGGAGGGGAAAAATACCCCGGTGAAAAATGAAAAATACATTTTTTAAAATATGTGTGAAAAGTAGAAAAATGAAAATTGTGCCATGATAGCCTGCAAAGCGCATTCAGCTCGAATGCGATAATTGAAAAATCGATAAATCTGCAGTGACATGTTTCACCCGGGGACATATACATCGGATTGTCAATGGTTTAATGCTTGGTATGAGTTATCATTCTTCATTTTCTGCTTTTGTGGAATTTCTTTTTTTGGTATTTGAATCATTGAGCGACTTCTTGGGGAATGGATCTCGCTGTTCCTGATTTGGAGGGGATTATTCGATTGTGAAGTGGGGGGTAGGATGAACTTTTGGAGAGATATTTCGGAATTTCTGATGGGAGCTTTTTTCAAGATCTACCAAGAAGGTTTAAGAATGGAAAACCAGGAAAAACGACTACTCATCATAATTCAGGAGACATTTTCTTTTGTTTTTTGTAGGGTCAAGAGGTCTTGAAGGTCAAACGGGATCAAACGGACCTTGGAGGGGAAGGGTCAAATAGCCATAAGGGTCAAAAGACCCTTACGGCCGTTTTGAGGGTTAGTTTGTCTTACGGAGAAGTGCCCTCCGAAGATTGCGTTGGGTTCAGGGTCAATTGACCCTTCCTGGTCACTCTGATTTAACCCATTCGACCCTCAACTTCAAACCTCTTTGAGGATCATTTGACCCTCAAAACCATTTGACCCTCAACTAGAAATAAATGATTATGAGGGTTAAATAACCCTTTATTAATCGCGTTCACGACCCTTAGGAACTATTTGAGGCTCAATTTGTTCTAAGGGTCAAATGACCCTTTTTGATGACTCTGATTTTACCCGTTCGACCCTCAAGACTATTTCACCATCAATCCTAAACGTTCTTCAGAGTCATTGGACTCTGAAGACCATTTGATCCCTATTTCCAAAAGTCCTTAAGGGTCGTTTGACCCTCAGAACAATTTTTATCTAGTTGCGGGTCAAATTTTTTGCGTTTTCAAGGGTCATATTGACCCCCCAACAAAAAAAATTACCTAAATTTTGCCAAATAGCCGCTTTTCCTGGTGTTCTATTTTGCCCCGCCCTCCTCTAAATCAAGAAATATTCACAAAAAATTAGATGGGCATGTCCTGTATTCCCACTTCACCACTGAATTGTACCCTTCCCAGACCCAGTGACATGAACAACCGTCTCTGTTCGGTATTTTCGTATCTCCAGTATCATCAAACGAGTATTCGTAATTACCAGCAATTGTTTATATTGAAAATTCAAGTTCTTAATGAGGTTCACGATTAATTACGTCACCGATTTCTTTGATTTGGTTTTACCACTGGGTGGGCCATGATCTGATTCGGCGTTCGTCGGACTAGGTGGTCCACTGCCCAGTCTAGCTACTCTACGGAATATATCACTGTTGACAAAACGTGGGTAAGAGTCACGATGCATCAGTGTGTAGATTTGAAGTTGTGCCTCGTCGAATGTGTGCGGTGTTGGCTCTATCATATTCCTATTTACGATCTCACGGACTCGTGAGTCCAAGCTCACCTGCGAAATAGAACAACCATTTTTTCTGAGCAGGATTTTTTTTTTCATGTCTGAACATGAAGTTGTGTCTGACCATCAATTTGTGCGTGAAGATGAATTTATGTCTGAACCTGAAATTCTGTCTGAACATGAATTTAAGTTTAGGCGTGAATTCGGGTCTGAAGGTAAATTTATATCTGAATTTGAACTTCTGTCTGAACATAAATCGGAACTTGAATTTATGCCATACGTAAAAATCTGTCTGAACCTGAACTGATGTCTGAACAAAAATTCATGTTCAGACCTATATTCGTATCTGAAAGTAAATTTATGGTTGGACCTGAAATTCTGTCTGAACATAAATCCGAACAATAATTCATGTCTGAACATGAATTCAAGTTCAAACGTGAATTCGGGTCTGAAGGTAAATTTTTATCTGAATTTGAACTTCTGCCTGAACATAAATCGGAACTTGAATTTATGCGGTACGTAAAAATCTGTCTGAACCTGAACTGATGTCTGAACAAAAATTCATGTTCAGACCTATATTCGTATCTGAAAGTAAATTTATGGTTGGACCTGAAATTCTGTCTGAACATAAATCCGAACAATAATTCATGTCTGAACATGAATTCAAGTTCAAACGTGAATTCGGGTCTGAAGGTAAATTTTTATCTGAATTTGAACTTCTGTCGAAACATAAATCTGTGTCTGAAGATAACTTTATATCTGAACCTGAAATTGTGCCCAAACATAAATTTGAGAATGAAGTTATGTCTGAACATGAATTCGTGTCCGAACACAATTTCAAGTCTGAACTGAATTTTAGGCCCGGATACGAATTGCTGTCTAAACAAAAGTGTATGTCTGAATATAAATTCAGGTTTAGACCTAAATTTGTCTCCAAACTTTATGCCTGAACCTGAAATTCTGTCTGAACATAAATCCGAACAATAATTCATGTCCGAACATGAATTTAAGTTCAGACGTGAACTTGGGTCTGAAGGTAAATTTATATCTAGAAAATAAAATAAATAATATTCTTACTTCTTTAGGCGAAAGTATCGATATGTAATCCTCATAGATGTACCGTGCCTTCTCCTCAATTTTCTCTGGATTGCTTTCACGCTTTAATTGTTCACACGCCAACCAAAATGCAATATTCTCCTCGCTGTATTCACTTATTAAAAATTCACGAAATAGTTTTCTACCAGCTCCACTTCTCATTAATTTATCGAAGGACGAGCCCCACGAACGTACTTCTTCTAGGCCACAACACTCGGGTGTACTGTCGAGGCCATCCAAACCATCAAGTCCATTACCAGCACTCGATACTGTCATATCACCACCATCACCACTTGTTACAATATCACCGCTTGCTATTCCACTGTTTCCCCGTTTTTTTCCTGCTTCACCACCACCACCCGAACCACCACCATTGCCAGTTCCAACTGCTGCCAAACTACAACATTTGCATTTGTTAAAATTCTGGCCTGGGGTGACCAATTATTTTTACAGCTTCGATTATTGAATTTTCCGGGGATTTAACCGGCCACGAAATACCGGGACATCATGCATATTCAGTATTAACACAATTAGTGGTAGCGATTCACGTCATATTCAATTTATGGAATACGCTAAGTTTATTGTTTATTCACATTTAAATTTCCAATTTTTTTTAAAACGCAATGGGACTATTTCCTGAAATGTTTTCTTCTTTTATTCGATTATTCGTGTCAGATTGCCTTGAAATTTTAGGTAAAATTTATTTTTTATAATAAAAAAAATTATTTATCAAGAGAAATGAGATTATGTGGTTATTCTTGACACTCGAGGGAAAGTAGTGCCTCGTAGCGAGCCAACTACGAAGTGTAGGGAGGTGTGACGTCATTATCCCCTCCCCTTCCTTTAAATAAACGAAATAATAAAATCGTGAAATTCCTCGCGTATTGAGCTTATTGAAGTTTAAAAAATTAACTTAATCAACAATATTTAAAAAATAATTAACGAAATTTTAAATTAACTGATTTCAAATTAATCTCACTAATTTCGTTTTAAAAAAATATCGGAAATATCCCCATTATAATAGGATTGCTCATAAACTTCTGGAAATCTCGATAATTCTTCAACAATTGATTTTTCAATTCTCATCAGCAAAGCCGTCATCAACTTCTTTAAATTACAAAATTGTCAGGATAAAAAATTTGATGGTAAAGATTATCAAATTTCGCATTAATTCTCAACTATGAAAACCGAAAATTTAAAAAAATGTCTCGTTTCTATTTCCCGAGAAATATATAATCCGCAAGTATATTGATTCCCACAACCCAGAACCCCATATTACCGCCTATAAAAGCCTCACCATTTGTTCCTGTATGCGGCATGAAACAAGTTGAAAAAAAATCGAATAGAATATAACATAAACGTATATAACCAAGAGTGCACTAAAACGTTGATACACATGCGACAAACAACATTTAGTTACAGAGCGCAAGCGTCCCACACGCCTCTCCCCGATTATCCACCCTTCCTTTCAAAAATCCACATTCAACCCCCCCCCNTCCCCCTCAGCCGCCCCCACCCACCCCACGAATCTCGTTCGGCGACCCGAACGATCCCTGCCACGAAAACGGCCCGTTTACTCTCTCAACCGTCAGCTACTCATTCTCATGGAACAACTAAACATTGATCAAAGGTAGTTTTTTTCCAATTCGCCATTAGGTAATAATAAACAAAACAAAAAAAATGGGAATGAAGATAAAAAGATTGACGTGACACGGATGCGTTTTAAAATAAACTGAAAAAGAGTGCAGAGAGAAAGAAACAATACGACTGCAGCAATTCTCATTTTCATTTTGAATCCTTTCTAAAGAAAAAAGCCTGGACAATATCTCGAATCGAAAATGGGAACTCGACGTGGCGATGTCTCGAGCGAATGGAGAGAGTAAGGCGGTTTTCATGAGTACAATCGTCTTGAGTCGAATTTTCATGAAGCCCGCCTAACAATCGAAAGAGCATTGAATACCATTCTAATAAACACGAATAAACAAATCATAATTGTAAAAATCGTTAGGTCAGGGGAAAATAGAATAATTCAACTTTCTTAATACTGTGGTTAGAATGTAGAATTCTTCGAGCAAAGTGCAAAAAGTAATACGAGCGAATGTTTCTCATCGGTCGCATTACTTTCTGCAATGAGAATGATTATGAAAAACGATTGAAAAAAGGAATATCAAATCTGCCAGGAAAAAGGACATCAACAGGCTTGTTAAAAAAAGGAGTATAAAACCGGCGTGGACCTAGACGATTTGAATTCGTTCCCGACCATCGCCTGATGCACGGTACTAGCAATGATCTCCCCCTCCAGCAACGCTAAAGCCATTTTATCCAATTTATTTCCCCATTTTTTCTTATCGTGCATCGGGAGGAAAAATGAGAACGAGTGCTCGGGTTTAATCCATCAACAGCCTTGACATGGCATTCAAATTCATCATGTGCAGCTCGATTGTGTACGATTTACGAGGGCATTCAGTTGTACGTAAAGAAAGTGCTTGCACTTATTCACGAGTATTATTGAGTGGGTCTTTATCAGGCAAATGTATTCAGCAGTGAAGCAATGAAAAAGGACGCCATGTTTTCCGTGTTCTTCAAACGAAATTACAGCATCCTATTTCCGAACTCCAACATAAAAAACATCAACACCCATCACACCATGAACAATGCCACCAAAAGCTACTAAAAGAACGTCAATACCACGAGCAACTGCAGCAACAGCACCAGCACAAGCAGCAGTTATCCTTCTTCGATCTGCCGGTGTGGCCAACCCTCTGTTGCTGTTGGCTCTGCTCCTGCTTAACTTGTTGCTGTGGCTGAACATCTTGCAGCTGTGACGACTGCTGTTGCTGATCAGACTGCTGTCCACCGGTCGTTGATCCCTGATTGGTAGTCTGCTGTTGGGACACCTGGCCCTGACTGGATGCCCGAAGACGACAACCACCCTCAGCTCCACTGCCACCGTGACTAACGCCTATTCCCATTGCAGTCGCACCGAGTCCGCTCGGCATCTGAAAATGACGAAAGAACCCATGTCATACCAATGCATCAAGATCAAAGTCCAAGGTGAACCAGCAGAACAGCAAACATCACGAGAATGACTTGTCCGCTCCACCACTTCACACCAGACCTCTTCGACAATCAGACATTAATCATCAGTAGTTGATGCTCACCTCCAACATGATCCATCCGCTTGAGAGCGAGCTGTGCTCGCCTCTCGCCAAGATCCAACTTAATAATCCCGAACCCTCTTCCCCAACGCCTGATCCCTCCCTATCAGCTAGGTTCTTCAACAATCAGCGTGGTGCAGGTGCAGGTGCAGGTGGGGAGGGGGTGAGCACACGTAACACACTACGCTACCTCCTCCAAGACAATGAAGACCAAGCAAATCCAGATTTATATCAACCTGGCTCCAATGGGACCATCTAGCTGGGCCTCGCCCGCGCCCCGCATGCCCCCTGCACCCTATCACTCTCGCTCCTATCTTATCAGTCAGCCCTATGGCTCTTCGATAATCTCCTTTGTTCTTTATTCCTCTCCCTCGGCCCTTTTCTTCTTTGTGTATTCCAAAAATCCTCTTCCTCCTGACGTTCTCTTCTTCCTTTCCTGTCTCTCTCACTCGCTTTCGTAATCTCCACCTACGCCACCTCGCGATCGCTGCACCACCATCCCATAATAATTAATGATGATACAGGAGTCCTTCTGCGCATGCTTGTCATCATTTCCCGCGCACGATTTTTGACGAGAATTAATTTCTTTTGTCTGATATTTTTTTGGGAATTTCAGACTCTGCTAGCACTTTGTGATGGTTCTCGTGATATAGCTCGGTGATTATGGACAACAGATGTTTCAGGATGCAACAGTGAAAACGCCGTCGCTCAAGGGCTGCTCACAATCCTCTCAATGAGATCTCTGAAGATTAAAAATTTCCGAATGACAATTTGGGGTTTGAAACCCAGTCGTTTGCGTGCCAGACAAGTAACTATTCAATACACCACAGCAGCAACTCGATCAAAATGTCCCCAATGACATTTCAATGAAAAAAAAAAATCTCACTAAAAATCGAGGATTGAACCCCAGTCGTTTGTGTGCCAGACAAGTAACTATTCCATACACCACAGCAACTTGATTAAAATGTCCCCAACGACATTTGAACGAAAAAAAAAAATCTCACTGAAAATCGGGGATTTGAACCCCAGTCGTTTGTGTGCCAGACAAGTAACTATTCAATACACCACAGCAACTTGATTAAAATGTCCCCAACGACATTTGAACGAAAAAAAAAAATCTCACTGAAAATCGGGGATTTGAACCCCAGTCGTTTGCGTGCCAGACAAGTAACTATCCAACACACCACAGCAGCAACTCGCTAAAAATGTACCCAATAGTATTTCAACGAAAGAAAGAATTCACTGAAAATCGAGGATTTGAACCCCAGTCGTTTGCGTGCCAGACGAGCAATTATTCAATACACCACAGCATAAAATCTCTCACAATCTTGATTTTCTACGTTAACCGGCTGTCCACTGACTTCCTCCTCGTAAAATGGATTTGATTTGAGAACAGGTGCTGCCACCCAGCGTAAAAACACACCGTAAATGACTAGTGAGCTTGCGTCGAGGTACGTATATAAAGTTTCGAGCTTGCGGATAGGAACTACCGAGAGTGGTCGGGGCCGTGCCGTATTGATTGGCGGGCGTACGACCTCGTATGGAGCCTCGAACTCACTCTACTTGAACTTTTTTTTTCCACGTTCTAATGATTTTTTCCCAGTGTTGCTCTCACTGCACATAATCTCCAATTGATGATGAAAATGTACGAATTCCAATAGTTCAATACGAATCAGCTGGTCTCACAGTGGATCATCTCACTGATTCTCCCGTGTTAAATCTACTCTACGAATATCTTGAACTCGAGTAAAATGAAGAGAAAAAAAATCACTTTCACTTACACACCGAGTCAACACAATGGCCCCCACCCCCCTCACATGTTCAACAGAAATAATGACATTAAAAGAAAAAAAAAATTATCAACTGTGTCAATGTTCCCTCATTGACACAATAGAGTTGCTGTCAGTGTCACTCGCATGATTATTCCTCACGCTATTTACCTTCAGTACCTCAAACTCAATTTTTTACTGAATCCATTATTACTATTTACCCTGTTACACGGAGTCATCGTGTTGTACGGTCAGACACGCTGTCACTTGGGTGTCATGTGTGCTTGGACTACCCCCATTCGTGAGGGCACTCTATACGTCGATCGTTTCTCCTTTTTCCCCCCTATTTCATGTGTTACAAATAACTTCAGCCCGTCTGTTGTAAACTGATTGCACTAAAAAATCCTCTCTCCTCTTCACTAAATCAAAGTAATGACAAATGATAAAATAAAGAACAAAAATCTTGGCTACAAACTCTTTATTAAATCTCTGTAACGTGACCAGATCATTCGATTGGTCTTTTATACTGTCAATTGTATCACTGATGATTGTTTTGGGAGAGAAAAAAAAAAATTTATCGCCCCGAAAACTGTTATTTTCCTCGAGCCCCTGGTTATCCTCGTGAAAAAGGTCTTGCGCGCGGGGACCAACCCAGGGCTCTCCTCTCTGGCAACACACTCAGTGCTTTTCTCCCTTCCTTTTTATTTCCTCCCTTCCGTTTCCTCGATGTAGCGGACAACGAAAATTACCAATATGGCGGTCCGGCGGCGCTGACGGCCTGGCCCTCCACTGTATGCTACTCTCTGATGGATCCCCCGCTAGGAAAAAATAATAAAAGAAAAAGTGGGTGAGACTGTAGCGCCGACGCAGCTTGACGCTTTCCCTCTCCAATTTTCTCTCTTCTCCTTCTTTTATAGTCTGTCTTTATTGTGGTATGATTTTTCTGTGTGTACGCAGAATTATCACTGCGCGCACGAGACGCTCATTCACTCGAGACTTCGGTGTTTTTACCCCCCCATTGGGGATCTATGAGGAGGGGGTTTATGCTTTTGACTCATGCTAACCTAATTTTCCGATGTGTTGGTTGGAATAAGTTATGATGCTGGTGGGAAATGAGTTGAATGTATCAATTTTTGGGATGAGGGGAAAAAAGCTCTGCTTTTTTTTACTGATTTTTTATTTTTATATCTTCTCTGTTATTCGTTACTCTATTATTATATAGGATTCAATATTTTTTATTGGTTCATTTTTTATTTTTTATTTTGCATTCGACGAAAAATTCGTCATGCGGCCGAAAACAACTTTTCTGACTCATGTGATTGCATTGCTCGGCTTCGCCTTGGTCTGCAACCTTGACACTCGTTAGAATAATATATTGTGTTACAAGTGCGTAAAGAACCACTTTTTCGCACGCACGCGTAACACATCCTATTTTTTGTAATACCTGCCGAGTTCACTGTTCGGAACCGTAGTGGGGCTAAAGTGGTTGCTTTTGTGCACGGTGTGCGTAAAGTTCAAGGTCGTGCGTAAAGTGTATTTCGAAGCGAAGCTTTGCGCACGAGAATTCACTGTACGCACGACCTCTGAACTTTACGCGCATTCTGTGCGTAAAACAATCACTTTACACACACTAAATGGGTTCGAAAAGTGAACTTTTGAGGCAGATAGTAAGAATTAGAATTAAACACTACAATTAAACGAATTAAACGATAGTATTTCATCACACTGTCCGTAAAACGTCGTTTTACGGACGCTTTGCTCTGCTAGATTGCAGTGTTCAGACCCGTAACATGACGTTACGGAATCGAATGATTTAGTCTATACTCTCCTCCTCTTTTGTAATATAAACGAAAGTTGTCATTCTCTAATGTAAGGGAATAAATCATTCGTGTGTGAAGAACTGTCAATAAATGGATTATTACTTAATTAAACAAAAACATAGAATAATTTACATCACATCTGGCCTTCGGCGCGGATTATAAACCCACATTCATCAACAAATATTTTATAGAACTAATGATGAACCCTACGATTATCGACCTTGTGACATAATATACTATTTCATCACCGGTAAAATTCCACATTGGATCTGCAATGTGCATACCATTTTCCGCGAAAATTGTCTGTAAATATTGGTTATCAGTAAATAATATATCTCATCATTGAAAAAAAGGACAACAATAAAAAACCCTCTCTTAAACTGTATCTTCACCCCCGAAAATTGAAATTTCTCATTAAAAAAAATTCATTTCCTCCAACAATTGCAGATTTCTCCGCCCAGCGAGAAATCAACAATTCAATCTTCCTTCAAAAATTCCCAGAAAACCCGAAACCGTCCGCTAACGACATCTACCCCCTCAGCCGGCAAATTACCCACCGATCCCCGGTAACCCAGAAACCCCCGAACCCACCCCCGCACGACCACTACCGCCCTCTTCACCGCCAGCCATTACGTCACACCCAAGACAAAGAATTCCAGCAAAAACCCCTCACCCCACTCCCCCCAAAAACCCAAAAACCCAGCGCCCAAAACCCCTGAAAAACCTTCAAAATTGCCCCTCCCCTCCAGATAAAAACCCTCACCGCCACATTCATCCTCCCCCTTCCGCCCCCCCCCCCCCCCCCCTCTTAAAAAACCTCCACTCCCATCCATTCTCTCAGAAACACGTGTGCGGGTGGCTGACGAGACAAACCAAGCGCGAGAGAGAAATTCCATCCCAACAAGGAAGGAATAGCCAAGAACAGCCGGCCCGGAGGAAAACTGCCAAGAGTGGGAGGTGGTCTGTAGGAGCGGCAGCGGGCCAAAACAGCCATCTGCGGCGGAAGGGGGGGGGGCCGTAGACCAGAAGGTAGGCCGTCTGGGGTGAGGGGAGGGGGTCCAAGTAGGACAGAGCGATGAAGAGGCTCAAATTTACTGAAGGATATCCCCACACATACACGTGTGCCTCTCCCCCTTCCGCGCCAAGTCTACCCCTCCCCCCCCGCCTTCACTCCACACACACGTGTACCCCTCCCCCCCCATACACATGCATAAAGCAGCCTAGGGTATCCTCTTCAGAAAACTTGAGAGTCCAATTCCCTTTCCACGAATATAGCCCCATTGAATGGGAACAGAACAGAACGGAACAGAACACAAAAGCGTAGATGAAGGAAAAGATGAAGAGGGGCTCAGAGGGGAGGGGAGGGATCGCCAGGGCTGGGGGAGGGGGGAGGTTGGGGTAGGGAGGACGGCGAGAAGGGGGGGGGGAGCTCCCCTCGCCCCTCTCCATCCCACCCACACTGAAATGTGCCCACCCGACACCACCCACTGGGGCCACCCGGCCACCCCGCCTGCCCACCCACTCGCCACCCGACAGCCGTCGAGGAAACAACCTGCAATTCCTCGGGCACAAACTAAAACCCGGCATCAAATATTTTTCCCGTTACTCCGTGATTTTTTCATTGACGATATTGTTTAGGTATTCGTTGACTCGTGATTTGTTTTTGTGATAATTTTTTTTTTTTTCCTTCGGTACACGTGAGCACGGGAGAATAACAGAGAGGATTGGGTGAGTATTCTGATTATTTATTTGTTTTGACGGAGTTAATGCACGATTTTGTCACTGGGCGGTATTTCCTGAGGGGTTTTTTGAAGCACTGAATCGATTTTTTGAGGAAAATCGCCAATTTGGTGGGGAAAATCGCCGGTGTGGGGGTTTTTTGGGGGATTTTTGGAAAATTCAATCTGACGAGAATTATTGTTATTGGTTTTTTCGGTGGAGGTGAAAACGTGGTAACTCTCGGCGTAGTTTGTACAACGGATGACGCTTGGGTCGAGACGGGCCACAACAGGGTTGGCTGTCTCTGACCTGAAACACAAACCGTTCGGGGGATAGCTCGCATCTCTCTTTTCATTTTGTCTTCATCTCTTTTTAGAGGCTGTTATGGGGATAAACTTGGGCTTCATTCTTTCTCACTCTGTGGGGGCCCCCCTGTGCGCATGCGCCGGGGAATTGAACAAGGGTGGCCCAAGGCCTCCCCTTTGTGGAATATATTTTAACAACAGCTGGGGGGACTAAAAATTCCTCAACTGCGTTTCAAATTTTCTCTAGTTTATTTTCTTTTTTTTTCCCTCTTCTGGTTTTAGTTCCGGGGAAAATTCAGAATTTTTGGGAGTTTTTTTTTCTTTTGGAGATCATTTTCGGAAAATTTTGCATGTGCTGAGGGGTTTCTGAAGGGGAGCTCCACTCGGTCTATCGTTGAAGGGAAAATATTGATTTATCCGGCAGTTTAGACGGCCCTCACTCTCGCAACCCCCCCCCCCC